GATAGTAGTATATTAAGCAGCATTCTTTTCTCTCTAAATAAGGACCAACGGCTTGTCTCCACGACACTCCTAGACTGAGATATTGGATTTTGTAATCTGTAGTCTAAATAGTGTAAAGAAAATAGAAGGATTCAAAGCTCCCATTATGGACTGGTCGAGGCCTGACCGAGTAGGCACCTACAAATTGTTCAAGCAGAAAGCGATAACGTATTTTTCTGCCAAGAGCATGCAGGCTGACATGTACCGCACACATTGCTCATGACCGACAATGTAGGCTGCGCGATGTTCAACAGTTGGGGGCTGCCAATTAACCGATGAGCAGAAAGATGCAGATGTGGTATGGGAAAAATTCGATGCACAAAGGATTTCGATGTCGGAAATTTAAGAGTAGCGCTGCTATCGACATCCTACCACCTCCAAGAAGCCCAGGAGAGTTGCGGTTCTTGGGCATAGTAACATTAATGTCTCTGTGAGATATTGTGCCATGTATTATTATTGATTGAGACGTGCTGCCATCGGGTGGTCATCTTTGTAACTTTTGCGATGTTCTGTTGTTTTGAGTGTTGTGTAGAAATAAAAGCGTGGCGGCAGTGTAGACCTGCCTCGAACCTAAATAGGACCGAAACCTAAATAGAAATTGAGCCTCCATTGCCTAAGATGATGGATTCTTACAAAATCTAACAGTCTCCATTTCTGTCTAACCTCTGACATCACTGCTTCCCTATGTGAACTGCTCAAGAAGGAATACGGCGTTCACATGGATGCTAAATAATACAGCCGCGTTTAAGCAGATTAAAGATACACTCAAGGTTTTATGCAAAATTTCATTAATTTTCATTCTTATTCGATGGCTAACACTAGGCCTATAGGTGCCACCTATGTACACGATTATTTCTCCATGTAACGATGCATGTTAATATTCAGAGCGGTTTGACTGCGCACGTGCATTTGTCGTGAGCTGTGGCCAATAAAAAAAATTGTATTCATTGAAATCAGACTAACCTGTTAGGAACTGAATACGATAGATTACTTTTAACTATTGGCATTTATAGTACAAATTTGCACATGTAATTTAAGCACTCACCAGCCTTAAAGTCACTATCAAACATGTTCTTTCTGCCCACATAGTATTTGTACGTAACCTGTTGCGATAGACTGAAGTGCTCCTTTAGGCTCGAGTTGTCAACTGCTCTGATTAGTGGCTTACACAAATGCAGTTTGTTAACCTGAAAAACGACAATATTATTCAATATGTAATAGGCCATTAAATTTCAACATTATCGAAAGCATACAAATCATATATCTTTTCATGACACTCTAGTATAAAGTATAATGTAATTTTTTCACAGGATATATTTATTAAAACATCATATAATAAACATTTAAATTCAATGATCTGCACTGCCATTTTACATTTTATAACAAAAACTAGCTATCTGTCTAGCTGTCTTCAAATAGTTCTGACATCTGTAGAACAGATCATATTAAGTGTTCAGAGAAATTCAGTTTTATATGAACTGGGGCATTTATCGTATGAAGCTACACCAGGTAAAAGGAAACATTTGGCTATTCTTTACTCGGAAACTCAAAAGTCAAACGCTCAACGCAAGCTCATCTTGATTTTATTATTTAACATTTAATAGACTTGAATTTACAAAATTAAAATGACTGCTATTGTGTACTAAAATTGGGAAAACTTTGAACCAATGCCAGTCATTACCAAGTGCAGTGCGGATGCGTGTGCAGTCACTACGATTTTGATGCTAATATTACTACTGGTCATATGCTTCTGCAGTATGTCTTAAATAAACCATATTAAATTAACAATTAATGTTGAATTTTTTTGCGCGCATTTAGTATACTATGATAAAAAATACTAATATACCATAACTATGTATGTTGATATTCGTAGGTATTTTTGACTCTCTGATCATAGCAAATGAGTTAATATGGTAAGCACTATAATTATAATTATGAAAATTGACTTCTTCCAATGTAGGTTTAAGAAATAACATTACTTTAAACATACCTTGAAGTATATTTTAAACAGTTGATTTATGAGATTTAGCATTCCCCACTTCTTTGAGTCTACAGGTTGGGCTCGACTGGCAACATAAACAAAGATTTTGATGAGGCTGAATGTCTTTGGTATGTAGTTGGCCCAGAGGCACATTATAATTTGAGTGATTATGAAGAAGGCATAATAAGTAATTTTGTAAATGATTTTCTTTAGGTTGGTGCCTATATTATTGAAAATGATGTAAAAATTTTACTAAAATATGAAGAAAAGTTTGCATCAACCAAACTTACATTACAATTATCACTACATTATATGTACAATAATCTCATGTAAGTTATTTTTTAGTACCTACTTGTCACTAGCACAGATTCTGAATGCTCCTAAAAGCACATCTGCTGCCTTCTCAAGAGTATCACCAGGTTTCCCTCGACCTTTTTTTGTTAGTTGTATATCTGCCTACAAAAGCAAATTCATTCTATAATTAACTATTATAAACATGTTATCATATTATTACAGCAAAATTACAACATCAACCTTTATAGTAACCTATCAAAAATATGTTCACCTCCACCAAACACTGCAACCAAATTATAAAGAAACGCTACGCCTAATAACTTTGCAAGGCAAATGCTTTTGCACCCACATACTGCATACTGTAATAGTCAACCCAGCATATAATGGCTACCAAGGAGAAACATTCAAAGTGGGTTTAATGGACAGGTGCCTTTTTTATAGAGATGGGTAGCCATTTAAAAAAATTTTACCAAAAGGACAGACAATGTATATAAATGGCCTATAATTTTATTAGTGCCAGGTTCTTTTTGTTGTTCTCTTTTCTCCCTTGTTTCCTGTTCGTTGACTATAGTGTTCACCCTTTTAAAGTCTCCACATGTTGTAAAACTACAGAAAGAGAGGCGGCGATGGAGAAGTTGAGGAGAGAAAGGGTAGGGACAGGTAAAAGACATAAATAGGATCGAAGTGGACATGAAAGAAGTCTATTTTGTCTCTTTTAAATATATATATGTTGTAAAAATAGAGGGAAGGTGAATGGGCTGAAGGTAGATGACAGGGTAGAGGTGGCAGAGAAAATTGTGGAAGGGAGGAGAAGGTATGGTATGAAATGGTGGGGAAGGGATAGAGAAGAGAAGGAGTAGGAAGGACGAGGAGGTAAAGTCGTGAGAGGAGGGATAAGGCGGAGATAAAACGTTAGGAAGGATGGGGAGAGGTGATATGATAGGTAGAGAAAGGTATAGATGATTGAGGGGAGAATGAATAGGGAAAAAGGTGGAAGGAAAACAACGGGGCTATCTCCACCCTCAGACCTATAAATAGAACTCTATTTTGGTAACCTAGGACACATACATATAAAGATCATAATTATTGGTCATACAGTACTTTCAGAGTGATGAACTTCACGGCACAACTTCTGGTTGCAGGATCATTCCCACTCCATCAAACTACATCTATATATAAACACCAAGGTGTCTAACTCTCATTAAAACTTTGTCGACATCATTTTTCCCAATCAGCTCTAACATTGGTGTTCCTGCAGGTGGCGCCACTTTCTAACTATTGCTGGAATCACTTATGACTGGTTAACAAGCTACACGCACCATTTATGACACTCAACCCACCAAAATGACTTTATATCAAAAAGATTTCTCAAACATTGCATGGCCCCCAAACAACCACTGACAGCTACCATGACCACGGAATTAACGGTTTAAACCACCCGCCCATTTTGCCGGCTGCCTCGATTGGGTGACTGATAACTAATGGTCCAAACCAACCTAAATAGCCAATCAGCACAGCCGGCACCTGGCAACCGCCTCCCACCCCCATGGCTTGCGTGGTTATGGTAGTCATCAACGGTTACTATAAGAGCTAGATAACTTCAAGAGCACATAATAGATGCTCTCTATAATGTGCTCTTGATAACTTGGCATTTGTATAAAGAGGTTGTGTAAACAAGTGGAAATAAACCTGCTGGCAGTGGGTTGAACATGCAGCTCCCGCCTAAGGCTTGCAAATTTAAAGCCAGCCAGGATAGTGTATATCGAATGTTGCCAACAAGAGACATAGACTTGACAAATGGCCGCTAGCTGCAGTTGGAGCCAATACGAGGGATAGAAAATCTGGGCCATGGTCACACTGACCAGGTGGTTGCTCTGTATACAATGCTTATAATACAGTAATATATACAATTATATATTATAACATATGGAGATGACTAGATAAGCTTCAAGAGACATAATAGATGCTCTCTATAATGTGTCTTGATAACTTGGCATTTGTATAAAGAGGTTGTGTAAACAAGTGGAAATAAACCTGCTGGCAGTGGGTTGAACATGCAGCTCCCGCCTAAGGCTGCAAAATTTAAAGCCAGCCAGGATAGTGTATATCGAATGTTGCAAACAAGAGACATAGACTTGACAAATGGCCGCTAGCTGCAGTTGGGCCAATACGAGGGATAGAAAATCTGGGCCATGGTCACACTGACCAGGTGGTTGCTCTGTATACAATGCTTATAATACAGTAATATATACAATTATATATTATAACATATAACAATATACATATATAATATATATGTTATTTATATATATATATATATATATAATATATAATATATATGTTATTATACATTATATATATATATATATATATTATAACATATACATATAACACATATATATACATTATAACATATAACATATACAATAATATATACAATTAATATTATATATAATGCTCATTATAACAGTGCTTATAATGCAGCCACTAGCAGTAGCAGTGAGGGAGTTTATAATGGCACCAAGCTACAGGCAGCCATTCTACAGAGATGGACACAGAGACAGAAAATCTGCTATAACTTTTCTCTTCAAAATAGCACAATCAGCTTATAACTAAAAACGACAGCATTGTAACTTACACTATTGGCAAACAAACGCAGGTCCAGGCATACACAAATAGGATCGGCAATGACCAGTTTCATCTTTTTGTGATTGCAGAACCTTACAAAATGATCTAGCATAGGAGTCAAGGATAAAAAATATATTTCTGCTACATTATGTAACTACCTTTCACAATTATTCTGAGGTATTAGCCTTATAGCCTTCACCACTATTTACAACTTATTATTTAATAGACACTTATTAAACACATGTATATATTTAAAGAAAGAAAGGATACTGACAACTATAGTTTGACAACCATATGCTTCAATAAAGTCATGGTTTGACACAGCCCATATGCACCTGTAACATGAAAAAAATAAGAAATATGAGGAATAGTTTTCATTTTATAACTATTCATATTTCCTGTGTATATACAGTGGCACTAAGGATATCATTATAAATCAGGTTTATCAGATTCATGTTTTCGAACTAGATCAACTATACAGTCTGCGAAATTAACCACTGGCCCGGTATCCGAGGCCAGAAAATTTTCCGTGGGGCCAATTAAACTGGTAAATGAACAAGCCCGATGGGCAGTGAAAAAATGGAGTAAATGGTCTATTAATGATATTTCAGCTTCTTTATGTGATGATCAGTCTGAGAATTTACCGAAATTCCCGATATTTTGTATGAAAATTTACCGAGATATTTACCGATAGGGATATTCCGATCATATTCCCAATCTTAAGTAGGGAAGTAACTAGTCAACACCATGCGTGTTTGTCGCCGCTAGAGATTGGAACAACTTCCCGTTCCGGTTCTGGTTTTCAACGTGGCCTTGAATGTGTGTTGGCTAAGTTACGCTCATAGGGTCTATGCCCCCAGGGTACTGCCGAACGTACCCGGGTACGGTCCGGTATACCGGAACGTACCCTGGTCACTATTTGATATGGTTAGGGTTAGGATTAGGGTTAGGGTTAGGGTTAGGATTAGGTTCAGGTTCGGGTTAGGAGTAGGCGTAGGCGACTCCCTAGACTCGTTAGTGGAGTAAGCGAGGTACGGTCCGGCATATTAGATAGTACCAGGGTACGTTCCGGTATACCCACCGTACCCAGGGTACGTTCCGGCAGTACCCGAGGACATAGACCCTCTCAGCCTAAGTTACTGTTCGAAGTCGAAATAGGCTTTCTGATTATGAATGAGCGTGATGATGATGAGTACGATGGCAGTGACATGAGATAGGGGAGAGGGAAGTGGGTAATTTTTTTTCAATTTCATAAAAAATAAATCTCTAAGAATACACCAAAGAGTTCTGTTTCTCTTTTCATAATATATGATCATTGATTCGGGCCTGTAAAACCTAGTGTGGGCCAGTGAATTATACATTTCACAGGCCCGCTGGCCAATAAGGTGGAAGTTTTTCGTGCAGACTGACTAAGTATAGTAGTCTAGTGGTGTACTTTTGACATATTAAAATATGTATTCCATCATATTTTCCCACCTTATTGGGGCTGCTACCATTTCATCATATGGTGAATCAAAGTATCTTTCCACCTGGGCTCTGGATGAGCTACCTGAAGTCTGTGATTGCTAATATGTGGGTGCTTGAAGCTGAGCATCTCCTGTAAAAATTAACAAAGTTAAAATACTCATGAATCACATTTGTTTACAGAAGTATATTTTGCTTCAAATATTTTACCATACTTATGACTTCATAATAACCATTAACGATCAAGAGAATATTGTTCTTCACCAGTTACCATTCACAAATATATACACATTTATATGTATCTTTAATCGTTTTTTGTGTAAACTCTACTTACAGCTGCTGTAGGCAATCTTTGTGTCAATGAGCATTTGAAGCTGAAAGTTCAACAAAATAGCAGATGAATTCATGCCTACTGTTCTGTCCAGAGATGACAAAGCTTTCACCCAGCTCTATGACAAGACTATTGCGAGTCAGACTCTCTGCACTACGCTGCGTACTCCCCATACATAATCCTTTCGGATATGCATGGGAGTACGCAGCGTACTGCAGAGAGTCTCAGTCAGCATTCGCCCGACGTTACAGGGTTCTCCAGCTTTTAAATTATAGCATGGGGGTGCTACTCCTGCTGGGGTCCGGGGCATGCCCCCAGCAAATGTTTGAATTGTAGATGCTCTGAGATGCAATCTGGGACACTCTGTGTGTAAATATGAAGCACTGCATGTGGAGTGAAAATGTTTGTTTTGGCATGGGCAAAGCCATCGGAAATTCAACAATAATTATTTCTTGGTGAGCTAGCTAGAAAACACTCGGATTTGAAGTATGAAATGAACATTATTGTGCCAGCTAGCCTACACCAGTTGGTTGGGATTGATTGTCAGAACTTTCAGATGCAAAATATTGAAAGCAAAAGGTTCTACTACATCAGGGATCGAAAATTAGCGGTATCCCGATATCCGCGGGATACCAGATTCTTGTGCGGGATACCAGATTTCAATGCTTGGTATCCGCCGGGATAGTAAAAAAAAAATCGTCATAATCGGATAGTGGTTGTTGAGTTATCAACTTTATACGGCAGCGCATCTGAGCAAGTGCGAGAGCGCGAGTGCGCGCCCATTAGTTACTAATTTATTTTGTCACACTAGCCGTTTTTATACAGCAGGCATACGCAATATTTTGCAAGCCTGGCCTTTGCAAGCCAATAATTGTGAACATGTGTATACATTGTATCATGATTGTATCAAGCGAACCAGACAATGCGGTCTAGACAATACGTCTGCAGTGTACTGTGGAGGCGCATGTAAAATCTAGATATATATATACAACATGTGTTGTAATATATCTATCGTAAAATGAAATGCTCGCGAATGCACTCAGCCCACTAATGATTAGACAGGCGGGAGCGAGATTTTTATATAATAATACATTAATATTAATAATTTTCAAATGCTATATTGCATATTTCAGATTTGGATACCAATTACATTCTTGAAATTACTATCCAAAAAAATCCGGGATCACAGATCTTTGGGGGATACCAATTTCAATACCTGGTATCCCGAATGGATACCATAATAAAAATCTAATTTCGACCCTGACCATAGTATAATTTTAGTACTATAACACGCATATATAAGATAGCAGTCAGTTTAGAGTTAGTGTTAGGGTTAGGGATAGGGAGACTGTTTGTACTTGGTGTGGACTGCATGCCGTACCCGTAGCATCGAGACCAACGTGTATTAAATAATCATTGTTTGAACTTCTGTGTATACACCAGCATGGCGGCTATGATATTTTAGGGGCGGGTGCATTTAGATGGCGGGGCTCGACGATAGCCTGGCGGCGGCCGCAGGCTATAAGTGCCCTGGGAGAACCCTGCGTTAGGCTTTTCTTTTGCAGTGAGGAGTTGTTTACCGCAGATAGGAGAGTTATTTATCGGACAATTGACATTGCCACCCTTACTGGGGAAAACAAGAATCTAACACCAGAGATGGATGCCACCATCAAACAGGCCCTCTTCAGATTCCTGTCTGAGTCCTTCCCAGCAATCTAGCCACAGACACTCCGTTGTAACTCGAAAATTTTTATTGAGTTGCACGTAATATATCATCGCGTAAAATAGGCAAGAAATGTGAATTTCGATCGTGTTTTGGAGTGTCATACTCCTCCTATATTATCTTACCTGCTACTAGTACTTCTACTACTAGAGCTAGAACTATAAGCGGCAGTAAGGCTCATAGGGTCTATGTCCCCCAGGGTAGGGTTAGGATTAGGGTTAGGGTTAGGGTTAGGGAGTAGGCATAGGCGACTCCTAGACTCGTTAGTGGAGTAGGCGAGGTACGGTCCGGCATATTAGATAGTACCAGGTAGCGTTCGGTATACCAACCGTACCCAGGGTACGCTCGGCCAGTACCCGGGGGGACATAAACGCTCTCAGTGGCATGTAAGCCTAACGGCCGACTAGGAGGCCGCCCCGTTGCTTGTTACTTTGTTAGACTGGCACATTTTAAGGATACTCTCCGCCGTTGGCATGAAATTTCATCGATGTTTTCGTTTTCAAACTTTATTCGATGGCTAACACATATGTGCCCTGTGTAGCATGTTCATTCTCCATATTAACTGTAACATGTGAAACCGTCAGAGCGCTGTACGTTTTTGTTTTGCCTTGCTTACATGTGTAGTAAGCAGCGGCTTGACGTCATTTATGACGTTCCGACACATGAATACAACCAACATTTTCACGATATTCAACTGAGCCAGTACTCCATCCAATCATGGAGTAGATTAATAGGGAATTCCCTATTATCTACTCCTGATCAACATCACCCTGCTACAGCTGTACTAAGTACACCTGATCCAATAAGTATCTCCACAAGAGCTCTAAATCTGTTCTCACACTCAGCAACGCACCTTAGATAACGAGCGCGTTTGTGACAGTGAGTCAGGGTTCGCAAGCCATTTGCATGATTTTTGGCGTTGGTCAGCCTCGTAATTTTCTCAGAATTTCTTCAGTGCATGGAAATTTTACAATTTAGGGTGTCAGTTAGTCATGGATATGTCGCAGTAAAAGTACTAACATAGATATATCACATACGTTCATCAGCCCATTTGCACACAAGCGGTCACTCATGTGAAAAATAGAAAACGGCTTATTTCTCCGTTTCCGATTTCTATAGTAGCCGATGTATAAATGGATATCTTCTCTGTGATTACAACTCGCGATTAAATTTAATTTACACTCGTTTTAATGGTAACATATTGTGGTAATGGAAGTGGCGTCAGGGATTGTGATTAAGTTGCCGTACTTTATTAGTTTATGATCTTCTTTATTCGCTAAAATTTCATATTTTAACACACAACGTGATTTTTAGCAGTTTTTTTCCAGTTTTCGGTAAATATGGAAAATTAAGACAAATCCCGACGCCTATTTTGGTCGCTATGTGCTTAACATGTGGCAAAAATTTTGTATTCCTCACTCTTTTCTGTTTAGTTGAGATATCCAAAATATCATTTTTTACATAAAAATTCAAGGTTAGGTAGGCCTATAGTGATGGAAATATGTCATAAAATTTTTGGCTTGAGCATAGAGATATATTC